AAATATATTTCACAAAATGTATTCCAAATCATTTAAACTTTACTTGACATCATATATACTTCAAAGTGCGGATATTATTTTCTTTTTAAATTCTATAAAAATTTGATAGTTAACGGATTATGTGTTTTTGTATGAGATAACCTACTACGTTTATGATTTGTGGAAGTTTTTTTTGCTTTGTAGTTTATAAAACAACAAAGATATTCATTTCAAGATAGATTTCTATACTTTTAAAAATGTGGTTTTAATATTTAACAATTATTTTATTGATTAATAAAATAAATTTAAAATATTTTTCGGAGCATCACTATATAATTAGAAAGTTTCTGATATATTTTTGTAATCAAATCATATAAATTTGCTAAAATAATGATTTACATTAAGACAACCGTCTCAGATCTAACCTAGAAAATAAATATTAAATGTGAAGATAATGAATTAACTCGAGATTAATAACAAAAAGATAGCTGTTAGAGACAGAAAATAAAAGAAAATGAAGAATGATAAAATCATATGTGACTTCAAAAGAGGAATCATTATGATAGATCATCTGCACATAAACCAAAATCATAATAAGAAGAAAAAAATATATGTGTATATATAAAGTCTTAACATTCTAAAATAAAATAAATTTACTAAATCCAAAGCAGCAAAAATAACATCATAAAAATCTAGTGACTTCGTCTCTCTGCTATTAATGTCTTATATATAGTAAATTGGTAAATGTTTTTAAACGATATAGCTTTCACAAGAAAGTTTAAAATAAAATATTCTTTAATAATTTTTCAAAAATACTATACATAAAGGTAAGATTATTTTTGGAATATTTTGTTGGTAAAGGTAAAGGAGAATATTTTGTGACTGGATTGTACCAGAATTTAGGTTGATAGATTTCGCTAAATAAATTAAATATTAAATACATGAAATTATGAGATAATATATCTCGTCAAATGATTTTGCAACAAGTTTTTGAATGACAAGTTTTTAAATGTAAGATATATATTAGATAAAAAAATAAATATTTAAAAAATAAACCTTGGTTCTTGTTTATTTGTTGTTTACGTCATCTACATTATTAAAACAAAAACATCACAACTTCTTCTAGGTAAGATTTTTAAGTTGGACATCACATTATTAATGTAATATTATATGTCTGATTAGTCTAACTACGATATGGTATGATATTTTGCGGGTATCTATTTTTTTAGGAAGTTACTGATATTTCGGTATCTTATAAACAATAAGAAGATAATTATACTTCATGTTTAGGAAGTTAGTCATATATCCGCATTCAACTATTAGATAACATTTAATTTAGATGTATACCTTCTTATTATTTAGGAAAATCTCCATTATATGTTTTTTCTTTTTTAAACAGAAAATCTGGGTTACAATTAAAAATTTTGATTTGTTATTAATTATAAAAAAAAAATTCAATTTTTTAAAAATAGTGCTTATGTTTACTTCAAAATAAATTTACTTGGATACAAAAAATATTTACTTAAAAGTAAAATACTAAAAGTTAATTAATATTTATAATATTTGGTTATATTATTAAAAATTATGCTTGATGTTTTTACAGTTAAAAATTTTATGGGTTATTCAATGAGGCGTAAAAAATAATTATCAAATAAAAAATAGATTAAAAAATATATTTATAATTTTTATTATAACATATTAACATAAACGTTAATCAACATGTAACAAATGAAAAATATTAATTAACCTAATTTCAGTTTTAAATCTTCCAAAATAAAAATAACCAGTTATACTATTTTTATTTTCATATGAACATAATTATTATAATATTGGATTTCATATTAGCTACCCATCGGTTTAAACGGTTAGTTTCAGATTTTAGCGGTTTTTGTGGATTTTATAGGATTTTAAAATAATAGATTCATTAAAATCAAAAATGAGATATATCGAATCACCGGGTCTACCAGTTCTACCACGGATTCAAATCGGGATTAAAAACGAAGATTTAATATAAATATTTTAAATAGTCAAAATTCTTACAGATTAATAAAACATTTGTAATGTTCTTAACTGCGGGTCAAAATCATTGAAATTTAATAAAAAATTAAATTTATTTATTTTATAGAAAAAAATATATACAATATACATCTATAAATATAATTATGTTTTTAATATTTTAAAAACGTATAGTGGATCCGGATTTGGATATCCATACCTAAATTTCACTATCCGGATCTGTAAAATCACTATATGATCCAGACTTTCGGATATCCGTTTATTCGGAGCGGATCGGAACGTACGCAAACCGGATAACGGATAGCAGAAATTATGTCTCATGTCTAATCAGAAGTAACTAAACTCTCATCTAATCATCAAACGCAAAACAATTAAGATTAATTTTAATTTTGCATTTCGAACAAACGTACATAATTAGTGTTTTCACTGCACGGTTATATCTACTAATACACTGTTGAAAACTATTAATGCAAAAAACATTTTTGATATTTTTCTTTAAATATAAAATAGAATTGGACAAACTCAAAACTATATAAAACTAAATTATATAGAATACATCCAAAAAAATAAAACTCGCGCAAGTGCGCGGATCATGATCTAGTACTACTATTAAATTGAAAATAGAAGAAAACTTGCCAATACAATCGAGTGTTTGAAGGTTGATATCAAATAGTTTTGATTCTTGTAACGACTATTTTTTTTATAGCTATTCAAATAAATCTGTGACATTAAATGATTATGATTAGCTCTAACCTAGAAAATAAATATGAAATATGAAGATAATGAATTTACTTGAGATTTTTAGAAAAGATAAATGTTTAGTTCATCCAAAAAAAAAATGTTTAGTTCACAGGAAAAAAACTAAAGAAAACAAAGATGATCGAAGCATATGCTTCAAAAGAGGAATCATTATGATAGTTCATCTGCACATAAACCAAAACCAAATTCAGTAAACAAAAGAAATATGTATGTATATATATAAAGTTATTATTCTAAAATAAGATAAATTTAGTAAATCGGAAACATAAAAAATAACATCATAAATGTCCAGTGACTTCGTTTCTCTACTGAGAATGTCTTATATATAATAAATTGGTAAAGGTTTATAAATGCTTAGCTTTCACACGAATCTTTAAAATAGAATATAATTTAATGAATTCTCAATAAATAATATGCTTATAAGGTAAGATTATTTTTGGAATATTTTGTTAGTAAATAAAAATAAAATATCTCGTGGGATATTGCAAAAGAAATTTGGTTGATAGATTTGACTATAAACATTAAATACTAAATGCATAAAATTAAGAGAGAAGATATTTTGTCAGTTGATTGCAACAACTTTTTGAATGACATGTTCTACTACAAGTATTTAAATATATATATATATATATATAAGAAAAAATTAAAGCGTAGACTACACACGTTTTTAATTGACATATCTCATTATAGATATTTACTATGACATGATTTTGTATTCACATTCATAGTTATATAAATTTGATATTTTATTTTCATATAAATCATACTACAAATATTATGTTTGTTAGTGACAAAAATTAATTCTATTTGTTATTTACGATTTTAAATAAATAGCAACTCTTTGTAACAATAAATAGCAAATCTTCTTAAATATCGATATCCATGTTTCCATACATACTTATTTTTAATACAGCTATCCATGTTTTCAAACAATTCTAATGTGTATTTATGTTTTAATAATATATATAATAATGAAAGGTCCAGTTTAAAAATCTTACCTAGAAGAAGTTGTGATGTTTCTATTTTAGTAAGACAGATGTATCATTGTATATATAAAACCTGTCATTGTTTTTCAAAACACGGTTAGAATAATATTTTAACAACTTTATTCTACCTACAAAGCATGTGACATATTGTACTTAAATGTCTAGGTAACTTTATTAAGAGAAGTGATTATCACAATACCAATCTAATATATAATTCATAAAGACAGTTACACATAATCTTTATATTTTTCTACAACCTATCAGGTATAATCATCAACTAATATTAAAAGCTCTTAATACTCAAAGGAGAGACCCTCCACATCAGCATAAATGATCAGCCAATAGTAAAGTTTTTTTTACCACTTCACACACAAATGTGGATAATACGTGTAATAACGAGAAAATCGAATGTGTTTGTGAATTTTCTATTAATAATCTATGGGTTTCATGATACACTTTGAAGAGAAGGACCAATATATGATTTTGGTCATTCATATTTAATAGAAGGTCCAGTTGAAAGGTATTAGTTTTTGTTCCATAAACTTCGTCGTTTCAGGGAAAAAAGGTTTCTCCTCTATTGCTTCGGACCAATCTTAAAATATAGAGTGACTCTTCGCTTGCAGTTTCTCTTCTTCAATCTCAACATCTCCTTTCCCTTAATCAGTTGACCATTAATGGTCCAGATCCGTAACCCCTCTGTGAACCCTCCTTATATATACTTCCTCTTCTAGGAGGAACTTTTGAACTAAAAAACCTCATCGACTCCTCTACCTTATAACATCTCCCCAAAAATGGATCTCTCTGCTGCTTATTTTTCTCAAACCGGCCTCCGCCACTCAACCTTCGACTCTCTTCGACTTGGTCTACTACTCAGTTCATCGTTGTTCGCCTCCTCCACTTCTGGGATTCCCGTAACATTCAAAAAGGAGGCAAGGTATGGGAATCACGCTTCTTTATCATGTGTATAATCATCTGTCACCACTTATCTATTAGAACCAGTTATCTAACTTTTGCTTCAATAATCTAATTTTTATCTAACTCCTCTCCTATACGAATCTGCTTGCTTAATCGACGACGCTGAGTTCTGGCTTCCGCCGGAGTTTCGCACTAACGATGACTTCCTCGCCGAGAAAGAGACCAAAGCGTCCAACAAGTGTTTGTTCCCGTATGAGCCGAGTCCTGGCTTTGGTTTAGACTTGGGTGAGGAAGAGAGATTCTTAGACGGATTGAGCCGGAGAATGGTTCAATCAACTCTTGACGATGATTTCTCCGTCGCCATGGTAATGATGGCTCGGCCTATATTCATCAATTTCTCTCTGTTTTCGTTTAATCAACTCTCTAACTGTTGCTTATGGTGTTTTTTTCAGGCGTGGAATACGGCTCATTCCGCTCAATCAACTCCACGAGTTTCATCTCAGGCGGTGGTGGCATGGGATCTATACCGCCGCGGCGGAGGAACCGTCGATGATGAATCTCAACGGTTATAACAACCACAATAGTGTGAAAGGACTTCTTGATCTTCCCAGAAAACATCCCCTCGCCGCAGCAGCTAAACTCTCTAACCACGGCTCTGGCTTCTACAGCCGCCGATCTCTTCAATACCATAAGCTTCAAGCTATTTAAGTAAATCAATCACATATCGCTTCTTCAACATTTGTTTTTTTTCCTTTTGGTGCTGATTTTTTAATTGTTTTCTTGGTGTAGTTTCTAAGTGTATAAGATCTTTAACTCCCAACCTTCCAAGTTTTCTTGGTTTAAGAATATTTGCTGATAATTGTTGATTCTTTCGGTTTAGCTCTTGGTCCGGTTTTGGATCCAGCTAGAGTGGCACAAGTTCTTAACCTACACGAGTCTATGGGTCATCGACAAGATAGAAGAAGCTGCAAAGCCTCTCGGTTTTGATGTGCAAAAGAAGTGCTACAAGGTTAGTGAAGAAACCTCTGGTAAGAAAATGGAAAAAAGCAAATAACTAATCTGTGGTATTTACTTAAAATATCTGATGAGGCTTGAGAATGTGAAGGCTGGGAGAAAAGGGAATCTCAATGTGGCAACAGAGGTATATTAGTTAATCTGAGCCTGGACCGTTGAAAAAAATGGTGATGGCTTAGGAGTTACTGATTATAAGTGTGTATCTTTTCATTTTAAAAACATATATTTAGCACCAAGTCTTCATATGGTTCAAGTATCGAAATCAAAAGGGGCACTCTTGAGTTCCACAAGGTAAACCCCATAGCTTGATTTTAGATTGAGAGATCATAGGGTTAGTAATGGGTGCGTGTTTTGCAGTTTTACAAGAAGCTATCTAATTCTCTGGAGAATATAGTCTAGACGAACAACGAAGTGATGAAAGAAGCTGGAAACTGATGTGTATGAATGCTTGATCTTTTGGGACAAGCTTACTTTCTTTTGTCTACGAGTTTTTTTTTTGCTGATCCGGCTACTTTTATAAGGATGATTAGTGGTATAAGTTTGTGTAAGATGTATATATGAACTAGGGTGATTCTCTGGCGTTTTGGAAGGAGAATGGTCTTTGTTTGGGTTTACTGATTTTCGCCTTTGAGCCCGAGTTGTGGAACTAGATGGGTCAGAAAACTATATTCTAGAGAATCTTAGAGTTGGTGGTCATTACACTTTCTAGAAGCATGCACGTGAGAAACGAAGTTGTTCAAATCAGAGTCAAATCCAGAGTCAAATCCAGAACTGATGTGTAATGAAACTTAAGTTGCTTATGATCTATTTTTACTATAAACATGCACATTTACGATTTTTCGGGTGATCAAACTTCTCTCATTTCAAATGTACATGATATCATAACTTTCATAGTGGTACGAAGAAGAAAATGCTACCAACTTATTTTTTTTTGTACATTAATCACTTTATCACAATCATATATTCATGTTTTAAATATTGTTTGGAAGTCATACCCTAGAAGTTAAAAGTGTAAAAACAATATCTTCTAAAATTCAATAATCTTAAAGCCAAAACAACGCTTAAATCAATTATAACCCTAACAATTGATGTATATAAAAGCTTAAATTATCTAAGATTAAGAGTACATGGATTATAATTAATTTTTAATTAATTTATATTCATATTTCTCATTAGTATATATGATGCCAATAATAAAACTATAACAAATAATGAGTTCTTCTTTGACATCCATTTTTTTCATAGAAAACATAAAATTACAACAAAAACATATAAAAGAGTAAATTTAGAACCAATTGTGAGTTCTTATCAATCTAACTTTGTCAGACAAAATCCATTAATAAAGAAAACAAATTTAAATCAGTTTATCCATTTATATCTTTGTAATTGGTACTAATACATATAACATATATTTAAAATTTTTAAAAAAATATAAAATAAAGTTAAAAATCCGGGAAAGACCCTAGTATATATAATGAGAGAGTTTTTGCCTCTCCTTCAAGAGGCCATGTCAGCCAAATAATTCATCCAATTATATGTTGCCATGTCATTTGTAAAACCGATATCATATTTCCTTGCAAACAAAAACCTAGCCGACGGTTTGCTCCATCTTCCTTCAATCTCTTAGTCGCTTCTGACTACGAAAATTAGAAAGCCAAGCGTCACTATATTTTATCTTTGATTCACGCCTTATTCCTACCACAGATTCTAACGCACCTACAGCAACAAAATGTTTCAAATTTTTGCTCAAATCGAAAGATATCCGCATCTTATAGATTGATTTCAGATTGATTTGAATCTCCATAGTAAAACTCTTGATTTTCTTTGTGATTCTGTAGTTTCTAGAATCTTTAGAATTTCAAGATTTTGTGATCCAATCGAAGGTTTTACCCTTTTCTGTTACTAATAATTTCAAAAATTTATAAACAGAAGACCGTGTTATTAACCACTACTATTGAAGCGACTGGGAAACCACATGTAGTCTTTCGGCTCAAGCCAAAAAACGACGTCCCTTACTGCATGAGGTTTGAAAATTCAGAGTCTAGTTTTTATCTTGATCAGGGAAAAAGGAGATTCTAATTCGTCAATAATATTTTCCTTTTTATAAATTCTTCTAATTAGTTACTTCTTGGGTTTGTTTCAGTTTTAAAACTTGAGTCAACTTCTTGAATTTCATACAAAATAAGTATAAAAACAAGAGAGTGATGAAAAGATCTTCATTTGGCCACAAGATCAAATAGTGTTTCTATGATATCACTAACTCTCAAACTCAAAGAGGAGCCGTGGACAAATAAACCAGCTGATGAAGGTTGAAATCTCATTGTAAGTCTCCAACCTGCAATCTCATTGTCTTAAATTAATTGACTAGATTCGATTTGAGTTTTATTTGAGATCAGCATATTTAAAAGTATTTTCTTTAATCAATAAAAAGTAAACCAACTGAGCTCAGCAGATAAAAGTTGTACATGATGGAATACAGAGTTTGGACATATGTCTTGGTTTAATTCATGGTTCGATGCACCAAAGGAAACAATTTTTACAGGACTTACTGCTCTATCTCACATGTTTTTGTCATTTCTACACTTCTTTGTTTAAGAATGGATATGTTGCGGGTGAAAACTTTGCACCACGAGGTTAATTGTGTAAATTCTTTGCTTAAGGCCAAATGTTCTGAACAAGAGATTTGGTTTCTTACCTATTTTTTTTTTTTTTTTGACGACGAACGGCTGATCCATTACTCAAACTTGAGGTGGTCTGGGAATCCAGACCGGAATAGAACAACCTACAAACACCAAATCTCGATAAAAGGATCGAGCAGTCCTAGCTAGTGAATCGGAAACACCATTCTGAGTCCTAGGCACATAAACAATCCGAAACTCTGGAAAGCAAATCTGCAAGGTAGCTAGCTTTTCCAGTTCCGTTGAGAAGCTTGGCCAGTCCTGTGGCTTCCTTAGCATTGATATCACCTCCTTACAATCCGTCCCAAAGCTCTGACATGGCGAATGTTGAAGCATGTTCTCCATTGCCCACCGCAGTGCTTCCAGCTCAGAATGCAAAGCCGACTCCACTCTATCAAAATNGCAAGGTAGCTAGCTTTTCCAGTTCCGTTGAGAAGCTTGGCCAGTCCTGTGGCTTCCTTAGCATTGATATCACCTCCTTACAATCCGTCCCAAAGCTCTGACATGGCGAATGTTGAAGCATGTTCTCCATTGCCCACCGCAGTGCTTCCAGCTCAGAATGCAAAGCCGACTCCACTCTATCAAAATTACGCAACCCCATTAGCTGACCTCTCCCCGTACTATCCTTCCAAACCCATCCACATCCGCTGTAAGGAGCCGTGGAGGTCCAGGAACCATCCACCAGACAGATATCCCCCAGACTTATGGTCTGGTTATCACCATTCATGTCGATCTGGGAGGGTAATGACGATTGTTCATTAGCTTGATACCAGGCAAGGCATTCACTTTCTGCATATCTTGCAGTTTCCAAAGGGTCTCTATCAATCCCTTTGAACAATTTGTCATTCCGAGCCTTCCAAATATACCAAATTAGCCATGGAAAGGGATCCATATCTACTACCGGTCCACCTATAGCATCCTTCCTCC